ACAAGCGACGAAGAACTTCAATGATCGCCGTCAAACGACTAGCCGATCATGAAGCTCGACGCCTTACATTCTGCGCTCTCGGCATCGACTCCTTTCACTGCAGCTCCTGGCCTCCCTCGAGCTCGTCATTATGACCACCATGATAACAAAGAACTTCAAAGATCGCCGTCAAACGACTAGCCGGTCGTGAAGCTCGAAGCACCATCTTTTCGGCCTCCTTGCTCCTTTCCTGCAAATTCCTCTACCCATCACCCAAATTTATACAGAAAAAAAAAGAGGAGGTGGTGGTGCATCTGGCACCACGTGAAAAAAGGGGAATGGTGGATCAAGCACCATGTGAAAGCAGACGAAAAAAATAAAATAAAATAAAATAAAATAATAAAATAAAATAAAAAAAGAGAAGGTGGATTCTTGGTGGCTAGCACCATGCAAAAAGCAAAGGGAAAATGGGTTTTGGGATGGTGGATCACTCCACGTGAAAATATATATATATATATGTATGTATATATATATGTATGTGTATATATATATAGATATGTGTGTGTGTATAATATATATAGATATATATATATATATATATATACAGCAAAAAAAAAAGCATTAAGAGAAATAAAAGTCCATTTTATTTTTGGAAATTTTACATAAATTTGCATTATACATACCTAAAAAAAAAAAATCAATCAAATCAAATTTACAAGAGGGAATCTTCAAGGACGATCAGGTGGCGCCTCAACACTCGGCAAAGCTCTAGGAAGAAGAGGCGCCGGAGGTTGACTGTTTGAAGCTTCATCACTCGGCGGAACCCCAGGAGGAGGAGGCACCGAAGGTTGATCATTTGGAGCTTCATTACGCGGTACAGCCCCAGAAGACGAAGGCAAATGCTGCTGGAACAAACCCACAAACCTCTGATGATCAAGTAAAATCTAACCATCAGATTCCTGCATCTGGTCAATCTTCCTCTTCATGTTTGTTGCATAGCTATGTGCGAGTTTATGCAATTGTTTATTCTCCTGCTTGAGCCCTCTAATCTCCTGTTTGAGACTCGTCACTTCAGTCGCCAATGATTCAACTTGATGGGTTCGAGCAAATTGGCGTTGAGCCATATTAGACACAAAACCTACACACTGCACACTGAGAGCCAGAGAATCCTTAACAGCCAACTCATCAGACCGTTTGGAAAGTAGTCTGTTATCTCTGGGAGTGACAAGGTTTCGGGCCACCACCGCAGCGGTTATATCATTCTTCACCACCGAATCCCCAACGGTAAGAGGACCAGTAGGGGATATGAAGAATGGGCGCCATATGTTGTCTGGAGAAGGCGGGACTGCCTCTTCACCAAGATTCAAGTCAAAACGACTGTCGGAGGGTCCAGACATTTTCAAAGTGTTAAAGAAAGAAAAGATCGGACAAATCAAGATCTTAGAAGTGCAAGAAGGGAGTTTTCACAAGCGAAAATTCAAGTGTGCTTTGAAACAAACAGCGTGCCTCTATAAAAAATCAGCACTCGACGAGATTTCAGAGATCGAATAGGCGAGCTCAAAATTCGAAGAGGCCAATTCAAAAAATCGAAGAGGTGCTAGCTTTCTCAAAAGCTGGGCTTGCTCGGAAACCACGGGCGATCTTCCTTTCCAGACTTGTCAGCACCCATCACACGCAAAATCAGCTTTGCGGAAATCATGGGTAATTTGTCGAAGCGCTGATCCCAGATATCGAAGAGGCGCCAGTCTTTTTCAGCCACGTCAACACCTGTCATATGCACACTCAACTTTGCTCAAATCACGGGCAATTTGTCGAAGATTTTCGGTGAAGGAGAAAGCACGTGAAGTTTACTATTCAATCACGCGTTAGTTGCCGACACGAGTGAAAGAATAGTACCTCTACAGGTATTAAGGAACTTCCTATAACTGTCCACCTTCACCCTCCATAGTAAGGCAGACATACAGAGCCTTTCTTCATCTCCAAAAATGCTTTCCCAACGAAGCCTCTCGAGTCATTCAATGTTCCTTATTCCTTGGGGTACCTCTGCAAACAAATGACACCAAAACAGAAGTATCTCATATCACCAGGGGAGAAAGCAAGAGTATCTCATATCAGGCGTTCTCCCTGTCATTTCCTTTGTCTTTGTTCTTACCTACAAAGACAAGGATAAAGAAAACAATATGCCGGAACCTCTAGTCAAACTCGGGTAAGGAACCGACTGCTTGGAACCCTTCTCTGATTGCCTACCTAGCACTGCTCTCGAGTACTCGTCTCCCACTGCTGCTGTACTTCCAAAGAAGCTACCACATCTGCCTGTAGAACAGATAAGGCAAGTGAAAATGATACCTTGCAGCATGTGGAGACAACGTGCAGAAGGAACAAGCAGAGAAGAATGCGGCCTGCACAGTCAACTCAGCAGAAGGAGTCCGAGCTGAGGAACTCGAGAAGATGCCACATCTGCCTGGAAAACAAATAAGGAAATGCGGCATGCGCAGTCAACTCAGCAGAAAGAGTCTGAGATGAAGAACTCGAGAAGATGCCACATCTGCCTGAGGAACAGATAAAGGAAATGAAAACGATACCTTGAAGCATGTGGAGACAAGTGCAACAAAACACGTGCTGAGTCATCCGCTACTTTTTCAAAATCAAAAGTATCTCATATCATCAGGGTTGCAATCACTTTGGACGGTGAACTCGTTTTGACCCTCAAATTCTTGGGTCGACTTACTAGGCGTTGTGGGCTGCACGTGCCGATTCACCACCCTTGAATCAAATCCTTAAAGATCAAGTCACTAACTGGAAGAATAACCCATCAATCTTGAAGATCATACCATTGACCAAACTGCTCAGGTGTAAATTAGAAAGATTGAACAAAGCAACAAGTCGTCACCTTCACCTCGTGCCTGCTTACCATGTGTTCGAGTCAACCTTCAAGAATCAAGCCTTAACGGTCCTTGAAGAAGCTTCCAGCCAAATTCAAGATCAAGCCTCGACAGCCTTTGAGGAAATCACAAGTCCGATTCAAGATCAAGTGTCTACCACTCTTGAATCAAATCCAGTTCAAGATCAAAGCTGTGGAAAGTCAACAAAGCGCAAAAACAAATACGTGCCGATTCATCCACTACCAAAGCCAAATATCATCTACCACATGAAGTTCCTTGTGGTCCAATTTCAACCTTCAAGATCAAGCCTCAACGGCCCTTGAAGAACTTCCACCAATTCAAGATCAAGCCTCGACGGCCTTTGAAGAAATTTCAAACAAAAGTTCAAGAACAAGCCTCAACGGCCCTTGAAGAAATCTCCAGCCCAATTCAAGATCAAGCCTCGGTGGCCCTTGGATCGACATCTATAGTAAGGGACTTCAAAACGCATCTCCTACACGTGACAAGCACATGTATACAACGCGTCTTGAAGTGGGGGCATTTGTAGACATCAAAATTTCGGTAAATAAATGTTAACCGATAAATTAAAGTTTCAACGCTCATGTATTACATAAATTTTACACGTAGCGTGTGTCTAAACAAAAAATCATAATAAGTTGGAAAAGTCATCAAACATGACACGTGTCAACACCTGGCAGAAACAACTTATTTCATCTGGAATATTATATTCAAAATTAGGCCTTGGAAATTTCTATAAATAGAAGGCTAATTCATTCATTCAAGGGAACCAAAATCATTATGCAAAATTCTTGAAGCTCTGAAGCTCTGAAACTCCGAAGCCCTCAAGCATTCAGGTTCCCGAAGAATCAAGAAAGCTCTCTTTGTTCTTCGTTCATCGTTCTTCCAAGATCAAGCCCCAACGGCCCTTTGGATCAACAATTATCCACCAATTCAAGATCAAGCCCCGACGGCCCTTGAAGAAAGTGTTCATTCGTTCATCATCCGCTCTTCCAAGATCAAGCCCCAACGGCCCCCCTTTGGATCAACAATCATCCACCAATTCAAGATCAAGCCCCGACGGCCCTTGAAGAAAGTGTTCTTCGTTCTTCGTTCATCGTTCATCCTAAGATCAAGCCCCAACGGCCCTTTGAATCAACAATTATCTACCAATTCAAGATCAAGCCCCGACGGCCCTTGAAGAAAGTGTTCATTCGTTCATCATCCGCTCATCCTAAGATCAAGCCCTAACGGCCCTTTGGATCAGCAAACGTCGACAAAGCCATACATCCAAACTGTTCTTCAAGATTAAGCCCAAAAGCCCCTTGAAGATCCGTTCATCACTGTTCTTCAAGATCAAGCCCAAAAGCCCCTTGAAGATCCGTTCATCACCGTTATTCAAGATCAAGCCTTAACGGCCCTTGAAGAAACACTCATCCTCAAGATCAAGCCCCAACTGCTCCTTGAAGATCCGCTCAAATCTACCTTCAAAGATCAAGCCCACCGCCCCTTGAAGAAACTTCCAACAGTTCATCCAAGATCAAGCCTCGACGGCCCTTGGATCAACGAAACATCCACAAATCAACGCCTTACGGAGATCGAATCAGAGGATCAAAATTGAGAGAGATTGTAACCCAAAATCATCAAAATACAAATATTTGTTTGTGCACGTTGTTCTTGTCTCTTTAGTTTCAGGAATTTTCCGTGTTCACAGCTCACTACTATGGTTTAATTAACAACTTTTTCACCACGCGTGTCACATTGAAAGTATTGTGTCACCACAGGGATCACGAAAAAAATTTGGCCCTAAATTAATTTACTAATCCATCCCTTTTATGCTACGTCATATCTCCTGACTCGGAAACCCTTTACTACTCTTTCGATACGAGACAATAGTAGTGCTAATCTTTCTTTTACTCCTTTGATTAATTTAATACAATGTGCTAATCTTTCTTTTTTATTGATTAATTTAATACAAGGAATGAATCGTTTAATAATGGCTTTGTGTCTTATGTTGACATGGTCTTTGGATTGAAGACCTTTTAATTTTGTTCCAAAATTTTCTCTTTGATGTTCATATCAGTTCTTGTAATAAAACGATTATCGTTTTGCTTTTAAAAAAATTATAGTGGAGATTGCATGTCTGATATCACTACACAGAATGGTAGTGAGAACTTAGAACCATAAGATTAGCTCAACATCAATACACAAAACACGTGAACTTACCAAATAATTATTTACATTGCATCATTTAATCTTTGTCACTTAATTGTGAGTGTTGATAGGGATAGGATTAGAAATTAAAGAGATTAAACGATCTTTGGTGACCCCAATTGAAGTTCCAATACCGTCTCCATGTTGGAAAATAGAGTGAGCAGTCCGAGCCATATTCAGTGACAGTTTTACAATTGATTTTGGTATGGCAGTTTTTGAACTCTCCTCATTAATCTTCGTCCACGAATAGCAGATCAATTCGTTTATGTAGTCCTGCGCTTCTTCTTCAGATACGCCTCTTTCTTTCATGCAGCACTCAACAGATTTTGCCACATCACCTCTCTCACCCTCAGCCTTAGTTAATTCCAAAAAAAAAAAAAAAAAAATTAGAATCTAATTATCATATTTTCCGTTTGATAACCATTTTAATTTTAATTTTTATTAAAAAAAATAGAACTAAAATACGAAATAATTATCAAACAACTCATGTACATATAGCTGATATAACACGTATATATTTACCTTGGAAGTGGCCAAATCATCACTAAGCCGAGTCATTAGAGATGACCAATATATTATTTGAGAGCCATGCTTAAAGGAGTCAAGTGAGCTTTTTGTTATGTTGCGTCCTTGCAACAACAAATAAGCATGGAGAATTGCCTCAGGACCACCCACTGAAGTCCATGCATTCTTTAAGTACTCTTCTAGGGTTGGTGTGTATCCACAGTAAAACCATCGTGCCTCTACCAGATATGAATTACAAAGATTTACCCACTGCAAGCGCAAGCGCACACACAAAATAGTAAATAAATCGTAAATTAAGAAAATAGGAAAAATAGAATAACAGAGCCAATATCTTTATAATTTGCATGCTGCTAATTTATTATTGCCAAACGTACCCTGGTTATCCTACACGCTCTAGTCAAGTGTTTTTGTTTAGTTAGCAACAATGACCTACAAGTCTAATACGACCTCCAGTACAAAAAGGATGTTCTTAACCAATTAACTCAGCTACAATTTCTGTTGCTAGTTACCTCTTTCTTAATATAGGGGAGGACGCTTAAACCGTTGTTTTTAAATACGTTATCATTTACTTCATTCCCAAAGTTGAGCAAGGCTGTATAAATTGGCTTCATGTACTCGGGAAGCTCCTCCGTGTCCTCCATATTCCACCTGTATTAAACAAGAAAAAATAAATCAGAGGAACAAAAAACCAAATCACACATTATACATATATAATTGCATCCATTAAATACTTTTTTTACCAAGATAAATTACATCTTGGTGCTTAATTAATGACTTACCTATGTACTGCATCTGTAAACAGCTCAAGTTCATCCAAAAATCCATAAACATCGTACATGTCATCAATTACTGTTAATATGCAAACGAATTTGGTGAGGCCAATCCTGCAATTCGAGAATTGGGGCTCATAATTGATTCCCATTGCCCACAAATAGTTCTCCATCAATCTGTCTCTCGAAAAATTTGCCTTATGTTCAAAATCCAAATCCGTCCACCACCTGCATTTGTTGGATATAAAGTCTTAATTAGTTTAATTTAACTAAACACCTGCATCAATGTAAAAACTGAGCATTGTAACGTAAGATTGTAATTAAGCAGAACATTGAAAAAAAAATGGCGGGGGCGAACCTACTTTAAGTGTGCTATATATGTGGTTGTTATTTTACTAACGTGTGTGGATATTAGGTCGCGGTATATTTATGCACTATTTATGCAGTCGTTATCTTGCCAACATGTTTGGATGAGGTTGCATTATATATATATATATATATTATGAGTGTTGCTATCCCCACTCTGATGTTTTATTTCTCCACCCACTCCAAATTAAATATTTTGTTGCCTTCTGCAGATCCGGAAAGAGGCGACCAGCGCCACTCCTCCATATACGCAACCCGACTGGAACGTGTCGCCTGTTCCATACACCGTGCACGCGACATCTTCTCTCGTCCAAATCCAACACACTACAACCTTCTCCAGCTGGGATACAAAATGAGATCTCAAGTTTTCCATTGGTATCACCAAAAAATTTCCATTGATAAGGAGTACTAGGCCCAATTCATGATTTTTCCACAAATCATGAGCAGATGAAACAAACAAAAAAATAAATAATTGTTATTTTATCTTTTATTTATTGTTAGGAATTTAAAATATTAAGGTTATTTTAGGAATGAAGGTGGGTGTAGAGATAGTATCGCATTGATTTTGCTTTTAATAGTGGGTGACAAAATAAGTGGGGTGGGAAGATAAGAAAAGGAAGTAGGGCAAACCCTATCCTCCACCATGTGTGAAAATAAAATCAAATTGCGAAAAAAATAGAAAACAAAGTTCACATTTCTTGCCTTGATAGCTCCTTTATCTCCCTCTGATATACTGATTGGACAAGATTATAATCCAATTTGGCTAATTCAAGCAAATCGATGTTCCTAGAATCGTCCTTTTGGTATAAATCAATATAACTTCGAGCTTCTATCCTCGGCATCCTCCAATGTAAGGGGGTTTCCATTGATTGCTGAACTAGTTGCTTCAATAAACCATCTTCACCCTCCAATGTTCCCAATAATTGTCTCAACCTTTTGGCACTAAAACTCTTGGCTTCCTCCAAAACATGCTCTTCCCCAAGCATACCAAGGTGTGAGGCTTCATACAAGCTCAAAAGTCCTTCAATGTCCTTGCTTAAGCTATCCTCAAATCTTCCGTTTCCGGCTTTAAACTTGTTAAACACATCTGCTCAATTATTTTGTCACCATAACTCACAATTAATTAAGTGCCGCTTTGAAAACAATTAAAACTAAATGTGAGCAACAAAATAATTTATGTGCTTTACCTGGGCTAATAGGGATACCATGTTCTCGTAATATCCGAAACTGCAAGGCAACGGTGTGAAGATCACTTGATGTACTGGCAGTACTGGAAGAACCAAGGCTAGTTAAAACTGCTTCGATTTCTTTTTCGAAATGATAGGCCACTCCCAATCGCTGCATTGAGTCGATAAGCTTTAACATCGATAAAGTGCTAGTAGTGCCTTGAGTACTACTAGTTGATGCTGCCAGCAACGTTTCAGTAACGTTCTGCTTTAGACGATCCAATCGCGTCCCATGCAATTCATACTGCGCAAGGATGAAAACAAATAAGCCAACAAAAAAAATGATCAAGATGTGTTCATGTATGAATGAGTCATGACAACTTGCAAACGATCGAAGTATACGTACCGTGTAATGAGTGGTGAATGTGTCGATGAGTTTGGAATCCCAAATGGTCGGATGGTATTGAGCGAATCGCCGTTGCACTGCCGGAGGATTACTGATAACCTTCGATGACGGTGATGAGTTTATTGATACATAAAGGAAGGAGGGTTGTTTTCCTACTGTTCTTTGAAGCAGAACTTTTGGAAGATGGATTAATCTTTGATACCTAGTACTAGTTGAGACCAAAGAGGGAGAGAGCGAGGAGAATGTTGTAAGTGCCATATTTGTTATAACTTAAGATTGATTGTTCATACCCACAAGTGCTCAATGCTCGTATATATAAGCAAGCGTTTTTTTTTTTTTTTTTGTTTTTTTGTTTTTGTTTTGTTTTTGTTTTTGTTTTTTTGTTTTTGTTTGCGAGTTCCGTTCTTGGGGAAAGAAGAAGATGAATCCCTTTTCCCTTTTTTTTTTAGTTTTTAATTATATAAAAAAAAAATTGTGTTTTATAATTTAAATATTTTTAATTCATTATGACAATATTTATTAGACTTGTGGAAACTAGTTATGTGACACATTAACATATAACAGAATTTTTGACCACATTGATTTGCGACCCTCATTAACTTTTAACTACTACATTAATCGATTTTCAATTTCAGAGACCATATTGATGGTGCGGGTCAGTTTCAAGGATAACTTGCGATAAAAAAAAACCTTATTTCAAATTTGATTTGTCGTTTGTCATTTTAAACAATTAAAAGAAAATAAATAAAGGTGACTGCAAGTCATCTTGCATATTTCAACTTGATGATTTTTAATTTAAACATTTTGATTCGAAATATAAGATGCTTTGTCCTTGTTTAGAAATTTGATTTGTCGTTTGTCATTTTAAACGATTAAAAGAAAGTAAATAAAGGTGACTCCAACTTGGGTTATTTTAAATTTGATTTGATTTATCGACCATTAAATTTTCTTTTAAAGAAAAATTGTCTTATAAAATTTTCTCGTGAAACACATTTTGGTATATTAATGTTGGATAATTTTATTCGAACCTAATCTAACCTAATTATTTATTCTACACCCAATAGTATTTTTTGTGTATTTTATATTTACAAATTTGTCTAAAAAAAATGGCTGTAGAGAGAAAATTGTTAAATTACCGACCACCGAACCCAAACCCAATCAGAAAAATGAATTATTACAGTTTCGGCGTTCTTCTTCCCTTATTCTCCTGCGTCAAACTCACCTCCTCCCAATCTGACCTTTTGATGAATGTGCAAAATGCTACAAACAAATTCTTACACGAACATGTCATGGGATTCCTTCATAGGCAAGGTATCCAATTCTGGGATAGCACCAAACCCGTTGGAACCAACTCAAGCTAAACCACAGGAAATTTATCAAATGAAAATGCAAGAACAAAATACAAAAGACATCAAGATTTTAACGAGGTTCCTCAATAGTCAGTGTAACTGGAGTACGTCATCGGAGCAGTATGAGCTCACCCAATAATCCACTATCAACCAAATGGGAGTTTACAAAGTGTTGGCAATCTCACAACCCAAATAACCCAATACACCAAATAGCTCTCACACACCAAAGAAACAAATAGAGGAAGAAATATAATGAATAATTTCTTCTCTATATATATAGCTCAAAGTTATTACAACAACAACTACTTTGGTGGATGATTACTAACCAATGAAAAGATCACCTTCTTCTTCTCTTCAAAATGGGGCTGCTGCCTTTTATTTTTCTGCTTCTCTCTCGGTTTCTTTCATTACCAAAATGCAACAAGTGGGAGCACAACAGCCAATTCTCTCCCTTTCTTTATTTGCTGCTCTATGTTTTTCTGCAGCCATTCCCGTCACTTTTCACATATGCCAAAGAAAATAACTTTAGACAAAGTGCCCTTTTTTTTTCTCCCCAAAACAAGGAAGAAACATAATCATGTTGTCTTTTTTTTTTTCTTTTGATTTGTTTAATAGCCAAAAGGTAATGCTGAGTTGGAATTCAACAATTACACCGTGGTCCATAGACTGTAGATATATAGAATTTCATAAAAACAAAAAAAACAACCCATGGGATGAAGAGAAAAGAGCAGTGGTCACTGTGTCATGGGAGACACCATTGGCAGTTGGTTGGGTCGTCGGAAATCGAAAAGAGGGATGGTGGGAGAACGATAAAAAGTAAAGAGAAGAGGAAGGAGGAGAACGATAAAAAGATTTGGAAAGGAATTGTTGCTTTCAATCAACGATGTTGCATAAGTCTCCCCGGAGCTTGGATTGGATTCGTCGGAGCAAATGGAGGGGTTGTGATGTTAATGCCGGTAGCTGGATTTTGAATTTTAGTTTGTTTTTCTTATTTAATTTAAGGATAAAATTGTAAGTTTGGTAAACAAAATTTTTAAGTTGGGTTTAGAGATAAGATCGATTGGTTCGTATAAATTTTCCTTAAATGTTTCATTAGTTTGGCCTTCTTCCTTAAAATATAGATTATATACATGAATGATGACTTTTCTTTTGTTAAAGGATGACTTTTGTAATCATAATGTTTATAACATGTCAATGAAACGTTGATATATTTTGCTATTGATGTATTATCTATCAATATTAGCGACGCGAACACTATATTAACGGTCTATTAAAAAGAACGAATTTCTTGTACATAGAAGAACTTTATTTAACTTTGAAGATGTGAGATGAGGAACTAGCTTAATAGCACACTATTGAAGAATATGGTTTGTACCATAAACACTATTCTAGAAGGTTTTGTTGCACGGTTTTTGCCTTGTTTAAAATTCTTACAATAATACAAACACGGTGGCAGTCTGGCAGAGCCATCCCAATAGTACTTAAACATACTCTTACTTGCATTATTTACATGTGCGGCATTAGAGAGACATGCTAATAATACTTAAAGGTACTCTTACTTGCATTATTTACATGTGCGGCATTAAAGAGAGAGAGAGAGAGAGAGGGAGGGAGGGAGAGAGAGAGAGAGAGAGAAGAAGAAAAAAACAATGTTGTTTAGAGAGAGAGAGAGAGAGAGAGAGAGAGAGAGAGAGAGAGAGAGAGAGAGAGAGAGAGAGAGAGAGAGAGAGAGAGAGAGAGAGGAGAGAAGAAAAAAGCAATGTTGTTTCCTTCTTTTCTTCATTTTTTAAAAGTAAACGTGCACTATTAGGGGAGAGGTTCTGTTCGGAATCTTGGCCAAGCCTCTATTAGATGGGGTTAAGACCAAAATTTGAGAAATGATGAGTCTGACAAATCACTGTCGGATCCAACTGGTTCGGTCTCCCGACCTTAGACGATGAGTAGAGAGTAGGCAGAGGACGAAGAGAGCTCTCGCCATCTTTTCATGAGCCATAAATCTGTGTTCTGAAACGCAGCGACGAAGAAGAGAGGAAGAAGATATGGACAGCCTGTTCGGGCAAAGATTTCTTTGAAGAAGGATCCTCGGACCTCAGCACAGCTCCCCAAGGGATTGACACTTTGAATGTGTAGTCGGGCTCTTGCTTGTTGATGTGCTATAAGAAGAGGACAAAGTTAGTTCTGAAATGTGCCTTTATGGGGTCTTAGGTGTAGGCCTTAAGACTCGCAATCAAAACTAACTGAGTGCTAGGTGTGCCACTACTATCTCAGTATAGCAGATGTAGAACAAGAGTGTTTTAAGTGGATTACTTGTGCCCCAAGTTACTCGGACTTCTTGATATCAAAGGATTGTCGCAGATGGGTTAAGTCTACATTAAGTTCTTTTTCTTACCTTGTAAACAAGGACTTTTAGTTAATAGTCTTGTATGTTTGAATGAAAGGGGTCCAGATCCCCTTAAGTCATTTGTTTGGTCCTACATTGTTTTTAATGATAACATATTCATTAAACTAGCCTGATCCACATACAAATGAGACTCTTAAAGTAGGAAAACAAGTGAAATAACTTGAACACATACTGGAGAATGCATTAAGTAATAGATCTGCAAATTTAGAAAAACAAACAAAGAGTGTCGGGCAGGATTTCACCTTGTCTGTCAAGGTTGAACCTCTTGCAATCACTTCTCTTTGAATTAACAGGGGTTTATATGCTAGAAAGGGATGGATGGTAAACAAGTTTACATAAGGGAATCAATACTATGCCACTAAGGGAGATAACAGAGCTTTAAACTGGACAAGAGATAGCTTGTCACTAAAAAGGACTAAATCTGGGTTGATTTCAGCTTTTGGATGTAAATTTGACTTGAGAGCAGAGTTTGTATGTTTGTTTGTTTGATTGGTTAAGTGTCCTTATCTCTGGGGTCTTTTCCTAATTTTATAGGCAAATTAACTTGACTGCTGTAACTTTGTTCTTGCCCGAAAGCATTTGAAGGGTAGTGAGTCATCAGCTTTTTACTTAGAATGCCACTAGAAAGTGTTCTTTGGCTGGTAGTGGGTTAATCTCCATCATTTGTCACTTCAATAGTAAGCACATGGCTTGCATTTTGGCTGAGAAGACTTCAATTTGCCTCTGGGTTTGGTGTTGGGCTTCGGGCAAGTCCCCTTTTAGTTGGCATCCCTAGACTTTCCTTCATCTAGGTCCAATGTTCAAATATTAACCCAAACACAATCTCTTTAGCAATGAAAAATCAGGTTGTCACAAAAAAACTTTAGCGACCAGTTATATTTTCTCTTTTTATAAATTTTATTTTTGAAAATTTAATAAAATTGCTAGTATCATAGACAATTTCTAAAACATTTGAAGTTAATACGTATCAGCATCAATTTATATGTATATACACACACATGTAAATTGTTAAAAGAAAGTTTGTTCATCATATGCAAATTGTTATGTTTCTAAACTATAATTAATTTGATTACAGCGTTAAATAGCACTCAATCGTATTACCGTGTGGATAATGCATATGCATGTGAAGCCCCGTTGGAAATTCTCTGAGAAAGCCAGAAGCTTACGATACGATCTGTTGCTTTGAGCATTCAATTTCTGTTTCTCCAATTTGCATGCACAAATAAATATATACAAAAATATATGAATCCAAAATAATTAAAATCTGTCCTGAAAAAAAAAACAACAATAATAATAATTAAAATTTGTGGTTATTTTTGTGCATTCGAGACCCACAAAAATATCTTCCCCTTGCTAAGGTTACTGCCAGGGTTTGCGCTCTTGAGTTTCTGGAGTAAGATTTTCTCCTTCTAAATTTTCCTTGCTTACTTTTTTTTCTTATTTGAAAGGTCACGATTAAGCCACGTCAACATCTTGTGTTGATTTTTTTATAGAGAGAAACTTACAAAAGGAGAGTGAGAGAGGAGAAGGAAATGAAAGGATTACAAGG